CTATAAATAATAATAACAATAACAATAATAATAATAATGGTAAGTCTAGTGTATAATTGCGGTTATATTACAAGTTATGAAACACTAAATATGCAATAAATCCTTCATCTATACACTGACTATGACCTGACCTTGCAATTTAAATCTGACTACTCAAATTTCAATCCAGACCAATAAATATATAAATCTAAATTATACTAATAAACAAATAATCCTGAATAGGCTGACATACAAACCACAGAGAAACACCTGAAAGCCTGTCTGAGAGAGACACCAACCTTTACCTGCTTATAAATACGCTCAGAGGTATCCAGAAGTTTCCAGAAACATCTCGGTTAGTAAGTGCCGACTATGTATGAATAAAACAAACTTATGTAGGCACGAAAACTTGTATTCTCACATACCTTTGTTGTCGTATATGTTGTGCAGTTCTGTTGTAGAAGAATGTTGCCCGAAAGGATTTGATGTGTTTATCTTTTAACAGGTTGGTGTGGAAGGTAAGAACAGGTAGCCTGTTTTCTGAACAGGCCCTACGGCTTCCAATCCAATCTGAAGTGAAAATTTGATGATCAAAGAACTAGTTTCAGTCTAATCTCTATCCATCGTATGTGTACAGTATGTGCAATTAGGACAGTCAAGAATTTCAAGTGCAGAAAATTGTGATTTCTTTTCTAATTTAATGATGTCTATGGGCAAAAAAAAGAGGATATTGTGTATACCAAGGGTATTTTTGTAGAACACTTTCATGATATCTTCCGTCAAAAGATTTGGTCTAAATTGTGGTCTAAATCTGTGGCTGTGATTTGGTCACAAATGAATGTGAAGAAATGAAATGTGCATGAAGAAACAGCAGTGCATAAGGGAAGTGCAAATAGGAACATAAAAATAAACTTAATGCATTTAATAAATACAAGAAATTTTCTGAGCTTGCAATGTATTTGTAAAGCATAATTTTGTGTATGCAAGGTTTATTTATTTTTTAATAATCCAAAAATATCTGGGGCCAGTAATGCCAAAGTTACCCATGTCAGATTGATTCACTGAACATGTCTGGTAATAGGAGTTTTAATGTAAAGTGATTAAAAATGAAAAATAGACTCAACGTAAGGAAATGAAAAAAGGATACCAGAGTATTAATGTGACCTCTCTGTCTCTCTTGCTCTCTCTCCAGAAGAATGCAAAATAACAGCCTGCTTTTCCTCACCTTTCATGGTTTTGCATCTCAGTGGCCATGTGCAACCTGGAATCCGCTCGACTTCCCCACCAAAATTCATGTTTACCCAATTTTATATTTGACCCAATGACAAAACCCACTGTTAGATAACTCCATAAGTCCGTCCTGATTCTATCTCTGTTCACACTTAAAAAGCTGTTTACTGGTTGTCCTGTTTCCCCCCACCACCACTTTCCTTATATGATCAGTGCTTCCTGTATTCATTTGCCTGTTCCCATGGTAGTTGATGGCTCACACCTTGCCTGTTACCCATCATTACCTTTTGTATTCACGCCCACTTTGTGTTTTGCAAAGTATTGTAGCCTTGCCTTTTTTTTTTTCTTGTTCCTACTGTGTGCCTGGAACTGCACCCTGTCCACTTTAATAACATGTCTCAAAGCATAGTGGAGAATATCCAGTTACACATGGAATCGGGATTAGGAAATAGGGATTAGGACACCATTTTGGACAAACCTAATGATTGACAAGCAGCTAGATACGCCCTCTTGTCCTGATTGGTTGTCCTGACTGGTCCACATCTTTTGTTTTTTTTTCCTCCCATCCAGAGGAAATGTGTGCCACAGAGACCAGGTTCTCTTATGATCAGATATTTCAAGGAAGTGTTCGGAATGCAAGGAGAATTTCACCATGCTAATACATTACAAAAATGTTTTGATAAAAATAATGATGATCCCATATTAAAAATGGAACAGCACATCCTCTATCTTCTGAGATCAATCAGTATACTTATGTACGATGCTGAGTAAAATTTTAAAGCTAACATATTTGAAATTTGAAAAACATGATCCATATTCTTTTTTTTTTTTTTTAACTCTTATCCTGTTTAGGACACAACCACGAACAATAAATAAATAAATAAATAAATAAATAACACACACATACAAGCACACAATGGAAATAGCTCAGATTTATTTATTTTTTTCCCGAGGACCATTATCCTTTTACTGGGTAAACTCAGGCTGGTCATCTTTCCTGACTTTTTCTCTCTCTCTCTCCTTCTTCCTCTCTTCTATTCTTCTCCTCTCTCTCTCCTTCTCTCTGTAGTACTCTTCTTTGAGGTCCTCCCTCTTCCTGCGTGTCCAACCTTTAGCCGTGATGTGGTACAGGTCTACATTGTTGCCTGAATATGCGTCCCTGTGCGTGGCCCTATACACGGCTTCCCTGGCTACAGAGACCGCTTCGTCAACACTTATCCCCCAGTGAATCCTCTCATCCAGGATTGAGTAAGCATAGGGAGAACCTGAACCCACCGAGAAGAGCTCACCCTTCAAACGGAGGCCATCACTGCACACATAAACAAGGCCTGGACCAGAGTGCTTTGTAGTCAGTGATGTAGAGATGGCCGTTGGTTGGATATTAGGATAATTCTGAAAAGGTTCTCTTGTCATTGGTGCTTTACCATTGCTGTCTTCTACAGAAGTGTTGGCATCCCTTTCTGCCACTGGTTTGCTATCAGCCCCTCTGTCACTTGTACATGGAATCATCTCCATCTCCTCTCCATCCCATCCACACAGAGTGGCAGCCACACACAGCTCAGTGCCTTTAAAAGGGTGCAGCATGTGGGACAACAGCTTGGCGGCACCCACCGTCGACAGCCTCCGCCTGTTTCGAAGCTGGTAAAGTCTCAACTCCCTCGCTAAGATGCGCTTCCAGAGGACGCAGTCGGCCGAGGTACCCGAAGTGGTCCCCACCAGGTGGGAGTGGACAGGTATGATCTTTTGGGATGCCGGACATGCCACCAAGCCCGCACAGCTGGATCGCGAGTCTGCTGCAGCAATCACTCCGCCCTGGAAGATGAATCCCAGCGTGGTGGTGCCGTGACCCAGAGGGAATGGGAGGGGAACAGAGGGAGAGGCCGACAGTGGAATAAGGGAGTGAGTGGACAGTGAGGGTAAAGAGTGGTGGCAATGATCATTTTTTTTGGAGGTCCAAGGTGAGTTGTCTAAGCTAGGTTGGACTTGACCGAACCGAATAGGGCTCTGCGTTAGATATTCATGCACCGGCACATAAAATTCCAGTGGACTTGAATTTCTGGTTTCCTGCAGCCATCTGGTATTGGAGCCACCTACGCAAAAGGTACTCTCCGGCGACCTGGACCACAAACATTGAGCATTCCATTGAAGATCACGAGAGGGGTCGAGAAAACCACACACATCTTGTAAAGCCATGACTTACTGCCAGTCATCCAAGCGACGAATATGTGGGAAAAAATGCTAATATTCACAGAGACTAGTACAGTACCTCATCAGCCTTTTTACTTTTTAGCACTATAAATACTCAATCTGTTCCATTGTCCAAAGTAGGCAACAACGCACGAAATTGGCAGTTTAGTTTAAGGGAACTGAACATTTATGAATCAGTCCTTTTATAAATTTCCCTTATGAAGTGTCATCAGAACCCTCTCCCATGCTTGAGTGCTCTCTGTTTCGATTAAGAGAGGCATGAAAACACCTGAAGCTGCTGAAGCGAAACACACGATGCTGTTTTAAGCTGAGCAATGCACTCGGTTTTGTCAGTCAAGATGAATTTGTGTCCATGACACCTAACCAGTCAGTAAATTTGCTCAGGATATATTACACTAAGAATGTGCTGGTGATTCAATATGCAAATATATTTTTACTGGCAACATTTCAAATTTCACCTGTTTGTGGACCAGTTACAAATGCAGGTATCAGAATGAAAAGAACCGTGTGCACCATTCATCACCCATCAGGGATGTTGAAGACAACAATGAAATATTTCTCTGGGGCTTCACTATGGTTGCATTATACACAACTATTAGGCGAAGGGAAAAACTGTTTACCTGTCCATACATTTCCATTCCTTTAGTGCTAGCTATAAAGTAGCACTACAACACAATTTTAGTGTGATCTGTCAATCTCAGTGACGACAGCTCTTTTACAGTGTGCACATAGCATGAGCTGTTTTCAGCAAAATCAAACTAAACTATTTATCACTAACTATGCTAACTACTGTTATCTTCTTTGCAGCACTGCTTTTCTTTTTAATCTTGTCAAAGCCTAGAGCAGTGTCTGTTTTACCTCGTCACAGGTATTAATCTTACAAATTATTTTGTCCAAATTTTAGAATGAAAAGAAATCAATACACTATATTACACAGCCGTGAAATCACACAGCAGCTGCTGATACAGGATTTGCTAACAAATCAGTTCTTTGACTAATGGTCAGACTGGCTATTTTAATTTGATGTATATAGCCTAATTTTCACTGTGTTGTCAAACCTAATTTCATACACATTTAGTAAGAATTGGAATGAGCAATTGCAAAGTGGTTGGATTTTGTTCAGTTTTATATTAATGAAGTCACCAGGTTGGTCTTGTCATGCTTGATTTATGCTTGAGTACTTGCAAGACGCTCGTTATAGCAATACCCAAACTGTGTGATTATAAAAATAATTTTAAAAAAAAGAACTGAAACCTGGCTGAAAGTCTCCAACATTTCAGTGGTTTCGGTGAGCAAAGTAACAGCAAAGAAATATGCTGGTGTTTGACAACTAGCCTGGCTGGGTAAAAAAAAAAAAAAAACAGGCAGAAGGAGGGGTTAGTGCCACATGCAGTGTGCATGTATCCTTAGCTAAGCTGCAGTGCAAACGTAGGCTTGTTCTTTTAACACTGTTAACAGGACTTGAAAGGAACAATGTGGGGAACATTATGGTGCTGCTCACAAATCATTTGTAGCTGCAGGTTGGCATCTGTTATATGAATTTGCATCTATTTAACAACTAATATCTAGAACTCACTCTCTGGTTCCTGGAGGATGAGTGGTTAGGCCTCGGTACTCTAACCACCGTTGCCTGGGTTCGATTCCCAGCCAGGGAACCGATCCCAGCCACTGGGGTTGTGCATGACAGTGCGCTCCCAGTGCCAGTCCCAAGCCCGGATACAATCGAGGAGGGTTGCGTCAGGAAGGGCATCCGGCGTCAAACCTGTGCCAAATCCAATACGCGGACCAGCGAGCCACTGTGGTGACCCCTAACAGGAGCAGCCGAAAGAAGAAGAACAGCAACATCTCGAACTCTTTCTCTCACACACTCAAAGTGTCCTCACAATAATGAATTGCTGTAGTGTGTTTCATTCGCTGATTATTTTGTAATTTATGATGCATGCTGTGTTTTGGCTATTCAAAAATACTCAGCAGCTGCTTCCTTTGGATAATGAACAGCCACAGACTAGTCTCATGAGCTACGAATTATATTTTAAGCCCTACAGTGAAAAACAGTGTGTGAAATTGCGGCCTGGGTGACATTCATGGGTTGAAAAATATGACTGATGAATCAAACCAGCGCAATTCGACTCATCGATTCAGTTCAGTTCGAAAGAGTCGATTCAGGGAAGTGAGTCGACACGGGCATCAGCGGGAGCAGGTGCAGCCTGCCCCACCTGCGGAAGAGTGACAAGTCACCAGTACATACATTTCCTGAAGACGACAATGCACTTTCAACACTTCCCGACTTCTCTCTAATCTTTTATCGACTCGTTTACAGTTCACTTCGGGTTGCTTTTGAAAAGCTGCTCCGGATCCGAACCGATGAGTTACAACGTGACAAGATGAAAGTTTCTACAAGTCCAGGCTTCTTTCGCAAAGTGACTGTCTGCGCTGCAGTACTTTCAGTGGTAAGACTGCAAAAAAATAATAAACACTTTCACTTGTATTAAACACAGCCTGCTTAGGTTTCAGCTGTTTGGACAAGTTATTCTTTCATTATCTGAAGAGAATGGCTTATACAGCATTTCCTGGTGCACAGGATAAAAATCTAAAGGCACAAAGTTCCTGTTTTTAACACTGAAGTTTGAAATAACTTTGAACTAAACAGTTATTACTCAGTAACAACAAACAAGTTTCAGTGTCATTCTGGTTGCAAGCATTTTCACACTGAAACCTAAAGGAAATCTCCACCCTGAAACACATGAAACATTAAATATGTTTCTGCTGAATAGTGTTTAGTGATTCTGGTGCTTATTTGTTGCATGGTGCAATGGCAGTCCATAGCAGAAAATATTTCAGCCATCTCAAACATGAAGCATAGCACTCAGGTTTTGCTACTCGCGTCTTTAAAAAACAACCTTATTTTTCTCGCTCGTTTTTAAGTAACGTTCAAGATAGAAGTAGTGCGTGCGGTGCAATCTTTGGTCTTAAAAGTCCCAGAATGCAACGCAGCTGTACAGAGAAGTTGCACTGAGTTACGTCAGAGATGACTGCAGTGGTGGTGAGATGGTGTACAGATGAAGAGATGAGAGAGCTGGACGGACAAAAGGACTAAAGCGCCGCTGCATCGTTCACTTTAGGCAGAGATGACGTTAGGGCGGCGATATCAGCGAGCATTTGAATGGCATTGTGGGTAATATATGAAACTGTTAGTCAAACATGTTAAGTGAAATAAGTTTGATTGTTCACATATTGATTATTAATGTTGATATTCAAGTCGCACAGAGTGGACACTGGTCCCAAAATGGGGCTATGTGAAGTGTACGGGGTGGCAGAAAGGGTCACGTGCACCCTAAGATTTACAGAATATCTGATTTGTTTGCTGATGCAGAATGAATCACGATAAAATAATGTTATTATATTGGCTTTCTAAGCTCCTCTGACAAGAAATGAGTCACATCAAGAATAGCAGGGCTTTATTACACAACATCAAAAGCTTGTGCAGCTGGACAAGTATAAACCTGGATTGTCAGTCTGTCGGCCGCACACTGAGCGTTGCCTTTTTTGTGCTTCGTGTCCAGGCAGAACACAACGCTGACACTCCTATGTGCCAGGATGACAAGTTGTAATTCCACAGAAAAAAGTGTTATATTATTAGGAAGAGCAGAATAAACACTAAAATAGGTCACAAACCTGAACTGCACCCAGTCAGTGGAGGAGTGAGCTATAATTGTGTCAAGACACTCCTCTCATCCTTACCTGACTGGATCGGTGCTGTTATTAAAGCAAGAGGAGGAGTAATCAAGTATTAGGGACGACATGGCGCAGGCAACTTTTTTTTATTCACGAAGTTGTTAGTGCTGCTAACATTTAGTAATGATTTAGATCAGCAGATTGCATAGGAGTAAGAAAAAAACTCTCAGAGGTCAGAGTTGGAGTGGCAAGAGGGAACCAAATCCCTGATTAAAAGGCATTTTGAGATCTTTTTATTTAAATTAAACCAGTGCGCTGTTGACTTCTTCACTCTGATGTATGTTATTGTCCTTGTAATAATACATTAGTATTTCTGTAGTGAAAACTTAGACAGAGATTTGTATGGTGGATGCTCCACATCAACGAATTAAAAAGAAAACTTGTGTAATCATTGATATGCTGTTTATGAGGAGATTATTTAGCATTTATGGAAGGAGTCTCCAGCGTCAGTGCTCTGTAACAGTCAAGAGGTAAAGCTGTAACTTGACGTTTTCCACCACAGGAAATTCTTCAGGATAGAGCCATTTGTGATTTGCAGTTCCTTGCTAACATAAAAAAGCTGTGTTCTGTTTTGTCATGAGAGACAGAAAGCGAGGCTGGTGAAGGAACGACTATTTACAGCTGCTGTAATATAATTGATAATGTACATAAGTATTTTATTTCGTGGACGTTACAGAATATTAAATAAATTACAATACATGGATAATAAGTATGATTTATCAATTTCAGGGGTGTGTTGTTATAGGAAAATAATCCACTCTGGGGTGGTAACAGTAACTCTTTTTCATGTCAGGCCACATCCCACCACCCCCTCATTGATTATTTGTTAATTCTGTTTTCTTCAAGATTGAGTGCAACTTCACCACACGCACCACCATGTCCCCTATGCAGAGGAGCCCTCATGGTGACCTTCTTCACTTTGACTCGGCCCCTGACACCATCACAGTCAACTCCACTGTGCAGATCTCGTATACTTGCTCCAGGGCCTGCAGAGTGGGATTCGAGATTGTGCTTTCCACACCAAAAGCGACTGGACTTGTGACCTTTAGGAGATCATGGATTCATGTCAAACAACTAAAGAAAACGAGAACAAGGACAATTCAGCTCACTTTCCCTCCCGCTGTGGTGTATAAGAGAGACTTTTTCTTCAGGCGGACAGTGGAAGCCCGTGATGCTATGCTGAGAGCCTGGCTCGTGCATCTGGATGGAGCAGAAAGCGATAGCAGCCACGTCGGAGTCAGTCAGTACGAGCAATCCATGGTGAGAATGTTTAAAAATTTGGGGACGGTTCCGCCCTCGGAACGTCCTGCCAAATCACCGAGCAGATGCGCTGCGTGGGGGGCGGAGCTGATGTGGAATCGGACCAAAGACAGAATAGAGAAGTGCTCTCCTGAGTCAGGTGAGTTCTTTCCTACGTTAAATTCAGTTTCTGGACATTAAATGGCAAGTTTGAGTACAGAAAAATTATTACATGACTGTCGATTATATAATTTGTGGAAAAAAAACTGTGGGATGCAAATTACAGACTGGTGGGCGTGTCTTTGAGTTCAAACATTTCCGAGTAGACACCAGGTGTATAAATGTTTTGTGCTTTCTCAGATTTCTTGTCAGGTTAGCTTTTGCTTGTGAAGTTACTCGAATCTCACATTCTCATCTATGGCTTTCAAGACATGCCCACCCAGAGCTGCTCTCATTTCCATACAGAGACTCAGTGACACGCCCACATTCCCATATATGGCAGACTTTTTGGAAGGATTTTATATTAGACTCTAAGGCATTTTTTAGAATCCAAATTGGTTCTGATCTGATGATTTGAGCCTTCTTCTTACTTGGAGACATCCATATATGGACTCAGACACATGCTCATATTCCCATCTATGGCTTTCAGGACACGCCCACTCAGAGCTGCTCTCATTTCTATCTAGCGACTAAATGACACACCCACATTTCCATATATGACCTTTTTATTTGATTAGACAGACCTTTATTGAATCCAGAATGATTTACAGCAGCACTCTATAACTAAAATGATTAATGGTACGATGATGTTGCAGATGTAGTGAGACTCCTGACGTTCCCTTTTGCGAGCACTGGGGAGAACTATGGAGTCATCCAGACGTTTCCAGCCTTCGCCAACAGAGAGCTGGAGACTGCAAGCCTGCGTGGTCTAGAGAAACCCAGGTAAATCTACCAAGTGCTCCTAAGTCAAGTAAAGAGGCTTGGACTAATAGATTTTAAAAGGTATCAGGAGTGATAGAGAGTACATGACTAAGGGCACACCCATGCTTCTTCACATTACATTTATGTGCATCATTTGCGTAGCAGAAAATGGCAAATGTCATACTCAAACTGGAATAAAGTTAGCCAGATGGTCAATAAGGCAGATCCAGGGTCAGATTTCCCACAATCAAACAATTATCCTGTTATGGAACCATGTGATTAATGGACCAGGGGCTGTTTAGTGAAACTCACAGATGGAGAGTGATATTAAAACTGAAGACAGAGCAATGCAGAGTAATGGCATGGAAATGAAGAAGAAAGTAAAATATTGAACTGATATTGAACTCTGCTGTGCTTTTTACTGCGGTTTGTCAGGTGAAAGCCAGTATACAAAAACCCCACTGGACTGGCTAAACATTGCATTTCTATTTGTAGCTGTTGTGTTACCATATGGTGAGGTAAATAAACAGTAGTTTGGTAAAAGGAAAGTAACTCAAGTTATGATGTACATTTAAAATATGTTTTCTTGAAGGTTTTTATCTAACCCATCACTGCTGTTTTGCAGACTGACCATGTCGGTGTGGTTGTATTTGCTAAAGCGGTGCAGGGAAAAGCTCTGTGGCATCATCAAGCATGTGAGCGAGAACAGGAAATACGCAACACCTCTCCTATTGCTGACTGATACAGGTGACTTCTCTGT